GGGCCTGGGAACCTTCTGCTGGAGAGCCATAGCCGGTATGTTGTGGCCGCCTGGCCACAGAGAGCAAGGGACACCTGCAGCTTCAGCGAGTGTCAGGGGACGCTGGGCTCGCGGCCGCGTTGTAGGAACAGAAATGACTGATTTCACCTCAAAGCAGTCACACTGGCAGGAATGGCCACTGCTGCTCAGAGGGCACTGGTCTCCCTCGCGCGTCCTCTGTCCTGTGCGGGGACCTCCGCTTCTCTCCCTGCGCACAGCGGGCTGGGCACCGGGACGGGCTCTGGTCTCCGTGGCAGATAGGGCGCCCGGCGGGGGCTGCGCAGGGAGCGGCGGTGGAGGCCGGAGGCTCAGAAGGGCTGGTCCCGAGGCTGGGACTGGGGGTCGGAAGTGCCGAGTGGGCTGGAGCCGGAAGGTGAGCTCGCCGTGTGGACTGGTCCCCTGGGGCGGCGTGTGCCCGGGCTCTGCCCCCAGCGTGGGTCCCGTCTCACTTTGTGGGAGATCCGCGGTTTCCTCTCGCCCCGTGCGGGTGATTTCTGCTTCCAGGAATCAGATCGTCTCTGTGGCCACAGTTGTTGGCACAATAGTTCTCCGCCTCTTCTTATAATCCTTGTAATTTCTGTAAAGTTGATAACGATGTTCCCAAGTTCACTTCTGATTTTAGTCATCTGGTTTTTGGGTCCTGTCCTCTGAGTTCAGCTACGGACGTGGCAGCTCTGTTGATGTTTTCGAAGAGCCGACTTCCGGGAACACTGGTTGTCGTCGGTTTCCCTCCCCTGTGCTTCCCCCCCGCACTGACCTCTGCCCTTTCCGCGGCTGGCTGGGAGCCGGCGTCCGGGGCCTGACCAGAGCCGCCTGCTTCGTCCATGTGTTTGCAGCCGAGGGTCCCACTGACCTGCGGCTGCTCCCCGAGCACTCGATTTCAACCCGTTCACCTCAACCTGGGTATGGCCTCTCTGCCGACGTCTCCTTTGACCCACTGGTTGTTTAAGGTTGTGATGTTTGGTTTCCACACATCTGCGGATTTTCCATTTTTCCACCCATGGTTGACCAGCCCCGTCCTTGTGGTTGGAAACAGGAAGATGTGGACGGCGGGAGCGTGGATGGCCTGCAGCCTGGGGGGCCACAGGGGAGGCAGGGCGGTCCAGGTGGTGACGTGCACGAGGGCGAGGCTCAGGGCCCCAGGGTCCCCAGCAGGGGGACTCCAATCGCAGAGGGGGTAGATGGTACAAAGGCGACGAGGGACGCACGGGGACAAGGGACACCTTGTGAGGGATGGCCCTGGAATCCTGGCCCCTGCTTTGGGGTGTCAGGACTGCCCACGGGCTCCCTGGTGAGGGCCTGGAGACGTCCTCCTTGGCAGACCATGTCCCCGCCAGCCTAGTCCACGTAGTGCCCCAGGCGGTGGACTGAGCCCCTGCACCTGCGCTGGGGGCCATCTGCCCCTTCTGATTAACCCCCTTCTGTCGGCACAGATGTCTCTCTGAGCCCCGTGGCCTGACCACTCTGCCAGGCCTGTGTCCCTTACAGGTGTCACCTGCAGACCAGCCCCTTGCTCCGCACCAGTTCCCACCCTGGTCTTCACTTGCCGGGGTCATCGTCCCCGGGAGTTAGCCGACCCCTCCCACCTGCTCACTTCCACCCCCTGCAAACAGAGGGCTCTTAGGCCCCAAGGCCGGCCTTCACAGACCCTCCTGAGAGCGCCGCTGACCCAGCAAGACCTGACCCCATGGCATCCCTGGGTGTGTCTCGTGCCCCGGACGAGGCAGTTTGTGGGAGAGCTGACCAGAGGTGTCTGCTGGCGGACAGCCGAGGGCAGCCAGGCACGGCCAAGGGTGCCCTGCATGTTCTCAGTGGAACTGGGCAGAGATGTCGCGGGAGGTCACTGGGCCACCGCGGGGTCACAGCCGGTCCCATGGCAGGACGTGGAGTGTGGCCTCCTCCGGGGGCTGCTGAGACTGTGCAAGAGGAACTCGCTGGGGAGTTGGCGATGCCCGTGGTGAGATGTAGAGGCTGCCAGTGGTCAGGCGTGGGCCACTTCTGGAAGCTTCTCAGACAAGTGGCCAGTGCTTGGTGGGTGTACTGGCCGGCACCTGAGCCCAGTGTGGGAGCACGAGGTGGGGGCACCCTTCCGACGAGGGCCCAGCGGCCAGGCTGTCCCCAGACCCCACCGGACTCTAGGAGTGTTGTCACTGGGGACAGTCCAGCTCCTTGAGGACCCCAGAGTGGCCTGGGGGGATGGTTGGGGCTGAGGGATGCAGACGCAGAAGGGGGGAGGATGCCACGGAAAGAGAGTTGACGCTGTGGCTGTGTGGCCTGTGTAGTCCAGGGTGCCCCCCTTCCCGAGACCACAGCTGCTTGGGAGGCCCGGTGGAGGGCATGGGGCTGTGTCCCAAGCTCCTGAAATTTCAGGGAGGCTGGCCTACCCTGCGGATGACCATAAGGTCATAGCTGTCAGGACGTGATGGACACACGTGCTCACGGCCTGTGAGCTCGAAGGTGACTCTGTTCATGCTCAGGCCCCTGGCCGGGGACTAGCCCCAAAGGACGAGGTGGCCCCTTTCTGACAGGGTCTGTCCCTGGGAGCCGCAAGGCTGCCCCTCGAGCAGGAGCCAGGGATGGGGCCCGATGCTGAACGGGGCTGGGCCGCCTCGGGTTTCGGGCCAGTAGGAGCAGATCAGCCTGTCCTCCCTGAAGGCCTGAGCTGGGCAAGGCCAGGCCACATTGCTCGGGGACCAGCCGGGCAGGCAGAGCAGGACGCTCGAGGGCCCGGCCGTCAAAGTAGGTGCTTTTCATTCATTCGTTTATGTATTTTGGGAAACGAGGTGCCTGGCCTCCCTTCCAGGAAACTTGGAAACTGCCGGCTGTATCTTTTTTGATGTTTTAATGCACTTTTTCACAACAGCAATGCGAACACAGGGAAGTCTGGTGCTGGGTAACTTCTGCAGACGACGTGCCGGGGACTTTCCCATCCCGACCACTGTGCGCAGGAGTTTCCCGAGGAGGAAGCCGTGGGGCTTCCCCGTCCCACCAGGACGAAGGAGGCACTCTTGCCTCCGGCCACCTTGCAGGGTCAGCGGGGCGACGGCGCAGCCCCGCCCTGCGCCACGGTCCTCATGGGCCCCCTGCTGGGCGGGCAGCCCTCGTGCGGGCAGACGGCCTGTCGTCGTGACAAAGCTGTTTGCCGGAGAGCTGGTGTGGGCGCCGCCCCGGGCCACGGTATCACAGTTCTTTGTTGTTTGGAGGAACAGTGGGCAGTGCTTTCTGCACGTCCCGCTCCCCAGCTACCCCCGCCCCCCGCCACGGGGCCTTTAGTCATTTCGTCTTGGACTATCAGCAATGTTGGACTGTGGGGACGAGCTGGCGACCTCGGCTCCGTCACGTCTTCGACAGAGTCCAAGGACGCGCTCCGGAAGGGCCTGTTCGGGCAAGAGTGAGTCGGGGCCAGCACCTCTGTCTCCAGATGGGGAAACTGAGGACCGGACAGTCACCAGCTCACCGGCCCTTGCGAAGTCAGGGGACCACTTCCCCTGGGTGCTGGTGGGGCTGGGGTCCAGGGCGAGCCACAGAGCTGGTCCTCGTCCTGGCCCCTGAGTGGCCTTCCCGCCCCCGCTCTGTGCCCTGGAGTGTCAAGCAGGTGGCATTTCATACTGGCTGCCTGGGCTTTGTTGGACAAATAAATAATTCAGGCTGACGAGGGTGAAGAGGGCGCGGGCCCCGTGCAGCAGCGGCCGGTGGCCTGACTCCCTCCCGAAGCTGCCTGCGCCACAGTAGGGCAAACGCACGGACAACCTGGGGAAGCAGCCCCGAGCCCATGTCCGGGCTGAGAGCCAGAGAGCCGCTCGCCGACGCTGCGGCCTGGTCCCCCCAACGCTGCGGCCTGGTCCCGCCAACGCCGCGGCCTGGTCCCCACAACGCCATGGCCCGGTCCTCCCAACGCATGGCCCGGTCCCCCCAGTGCCGCGGCCTGGTCCCCCCAGTGCCGCGGCCTGGTCCCGCCGATGCCGCGGCCTGGTCCCAGCTCTGCTGTTCCCGCTCGCTTGAGGCGGAGCCCCGGAGCCAGTCCACACACACACCCGCTGGCTGGTGCAGGAGCCGTGCTCGCTGAGGGGTGACGGGCCAGGGCTTGGCTGAGGTGCTGGTGGCGTGAGTACTGGGGAGCTGCAGGCATGACGGGGGTTTTTCATACCGTCTGTGCTCCTTGTTTCGGTCCATTTAAAATTATTCCACAAAACATTCTAAAAGTTTAAAGAGATGTCCAACAAATGCAAGAAAAGGTTCTCAGCCGCGTGGAAATGCAAGTGGAAATACCAGCGACCTGTTTGCCCTCAGCGGCAGCATCTGAACGGGTACTAAGAGGAAGCATCTTTTGGTTTGGGGACACCGGTGCTAGACAGTTGGAGTAAAAACTGGCAGAGCCTCTTTTATGGACAAGTGCCCCTTCTCCGACGCCGAGGTGCAGAGACCCGGTGTGTCCTCCCTGAACGGGTGGGGTCTTGTGGGCTCCGGGTCCGTCCTGCGGAGAGTCCCTCACGGAAAACCAGCTTTGGACACAGAACGTACTCAGGGTCTTTGTCACAGAGTTTGTAATCGCGCAAAATTGCAGACCATTTAATAATCTGCGTATTCATGGGGTGCGTGCGGAGGACCCAGGGGCCAGAAGGTCCCCGTCTACAACGTGGAAGAACTGGAAAGAATGCAGCCCCCTGGGTCAGCTGAGTCGGGGCAGAGGTGTGTGGGGGAGAGAGGCCCCGAGCCCCTTGTGTTGGCTGAGTTGGGGCAGGGGTGTATGTGTGTGGGAGAGAGGCCCCGAGTCGCGTGGGT